TGACTAGAATCTTTTATTTTAGTTCATTTATTATTATTTCCTAAAATTTTGCCATAGGGCACATGCACTCACCACAGACATGTGCATGAGAGTAAGTGAGAAAGCAGGCTGCCAGGTTCAGGATTTGAACTGTGGTCAACCATGTGGGATTCCAGTGCCTCAACCATACCAGCTGCTGGCCCTAACTAGAATCTTAAGTTCCTTAAGGACAAGGGCCATACCTAGGCCTTATGCCCCTGATACAGAAATGGGCTTTAAAAGGTTTATTAAATAAACTGAACCTTTCAAAGCTGGTCTGGAGCTGCTGAGTCAGGTTGCAGGCAAGAGCAAGAACATGTGACTCGATGTGCTCAGCACAATGGGGTTCATCAGTATCATCATAGCTGATGCTTCTCTTCCACTCTACCCACGAGACAAAGCTTATCCTGAACATACTGAATTTTCTGGTTGGTATTATGCACAGTCAATCAAACACAATAGAATGGAACTGAGGAATTCTCTCTCACTTTTTTTGCTTAGCTTTTTAATTTTTTGATTAACTTAAACAACAACAAATACAAAAATGAATGGTTCATACACATATATTAAGATTTCGGGGAGCCACTCAGAGACAGAAAGCGAGAAATCACCTCCAGAGAGATAGACACACCACAGTCCCTTCTCTTCCACTCTTATCTCAGGATTTTGGGCACATACACATACGCACCCAGTGTGAGTTTTTAAGCTGCTAGGTCTGGGACTCAGACCAAGATCTACTTACTACATGGGAGTCCAGTGAAGTAACCATTACACCATCTGCTGGTCCCATGCTTTTTTTCCCCCTCTTTATTTAAAGGTTATTGCCACAGGGTGCTTGTGTTTGCTGGAGAGAGACAGCAAGAGGGAAACTGAGAAATAAGCTCATTTTCTTTTCATTTTTAAAAAGAATTACTTCTTTAATTTTTAAATTATTATTATTTTAATTCACCAGAGACAGAGAACTAGTGATTTTGTGTGGTGCTCTTGCACGCCATTCAGTTTTGTATTTTGTGCTTTTCTAAAATAAATTTTTTTTTTTACATTAAAAAACACCCTAACCACCACACTACCTGCTGTTCCAGTGAGTGCATTTTCTACTCTACAACTCACAAGCTGTGTTAATGCTGCTGTTGACCAGTCTTGATCGTCTCCACATTGCCAGTCACCATTCCTTTGGTCTTGTCAATCACTCTTGTGTTTGTGACAGCCACAGAATCCCTGGCTCCAGTCGTAGCAGTTGTCACAGTATCTTTGGCACTGGCAACAACCTCTGGATTGTTGGCTGATTATTCTCAGAATAGGTAGTTTCTCCTCAATCCTGCCCAGTTACTTACAGGTATAGGTACTGGCAACCACAATCTGTGGCTATAGCTTCTGGATGACTGGCAGAACCCTTGTCATGGCTACTGAAGTCATAGTTTTTACACCCTTCTCTGCCATCTCACACACAGACTTCAAGTAGGGATACTGATCTTTTGTACTGACATACACCATGGACACAGATCATATGTGGAACTCACCAAGAGCAGTTTGGCCACCCTAGTCACCACAGTTGGTTGTGGACCAATGACCCTGCTCAAGGGTGAAGAGTTAGAGTACCCTGAAGGAAAGGGCTGTGGATTGAGAAAGGACAGAGAGACAAAAGCCGGCATCTCTACTGGACAATGCTGCAGCCACAGCCATCCTGTGCTCATTCTTTTATGGGGAGGCAAAGCTGAGTTCTTCAGCTGTGGAGCACCTCATGATTCTAAACAAGCCTCTATTGGCCTTCTCTGGCTGACTTCAGGTTTCTTCTATCTGTAAAGCCCAGCAGTAGGTTATGTCTATGTTTAGAGTTTTTGCATGCCCTGCAGCGATGGCACAAAGACTGTATCTACTTTAAGGTGCTCCCTGTAGACCAATTGCAACAGATGCCATTTTTCTTGCTAGAAAAAGAAATCAGCCTATCAAAGTTAAGACATGATGGGCAGGCAGACATGCAACTGGCTCTGGCAACCACAAGTTTCTGCTTTGTATTCTATGTCCAGTTTGTACAATTATACTTGAAACTTCCAAGAGGATCTTCCCATGCTGCAGCTCAATCCCTGCCAGCTGGAATTACAGACACACTTGGGATGTTCAGGTTGACCAGGACATCCAAACCAGGGAACTTCCCAGTATCATAAGGCAGCATGCACTACTAAGGTTGGGCTCTTCTTGTCTTTTTTTTTTTTTTTTTTTTGAAGAGGTTAGGGCACGTGTGCTCACCGGAGAGAGACAGAGAGACAGAAAGTGAGAAATCACCCCCCAGTGGGGATGGCCATGCCGCAATCCCTTCTCCTCCTTTCTCCTCTCGGGATCTTGGGCATGCACGACATGCGCCCTGCGTGAGTTTAAGCCACTGGGTCCGAGACTCAAACCACGGTCGACTACGTGGGAGTCCAGCGACATAGCCATTACGCTCACTGCTGGTCCCTCTACTTGTCTTTTGAGGTTGGTCTGGCCTTTTGTCCAGTATTACTACACACCCCCAGCCTGAGTTAAGTGATAGCTGTCATTGTAGTTCTCAGTACAGTCCACCTTACTGTATTGAAATTATCTGATTCTTTCTACTTGTCTAGACTATATATTTTTAAATTATTCATTTATTTTAATTTGACCAGAGAAAGAGACACAGAGAGAGAAAGAGAGAGAAGGGAGAAAGGAAACCACCAGGTCCAGGACTCGAACATTGTCGGCTATGTAGGAGTGTCCAGCACCTTAACCACCACACCACCTGCTGGTCCACAACCTGTCTAGACTATTAAGTTCCTTAAGGATAGGGCCATACCTTGGTACAGGTAGTGGCTCAAAAGTTTTACTGAATAAACTGGGACCAGCAGTTGGCATAATGGCTATGTTGCTGGACTCCCATGTAGTCAACCACAGTTTGAGTCCTGGACCTGGTAGCTTAAACTCACACCGGGCGCATATGCCTTTGGGCCCAAGATCCTGAGAGGAGAATGGAGAAGGGATTGCGGTGTGGCTATACCCCTGTGGGGTGAATTCTTGCTTTCTCTCTTTCTGGTGAGCACACGTGCCCTATAGCAAAAACCTCTCCCAAAAAATTTTTTTTTTTTACTGAAAAAACTGAACCATTAAAAAAAAATAGTATGTTGAAAACAGATTTACCAAGGAGCAATAGCATCAATATGAGGTTTCTCATGGCACTGGCAAAGCCAAAAATTAACCGTTTCCCAAGTTTAGGAACTAATACAAATGTACCCTACCTTATCCTTAAGACCTGCTTGGTCCTAGTTGTTCAACCTAGATTCCTCACTGACATCCACACAGCTATTATAATTCTATTTCAATTTGGAACATAAACTTGAAAAAAAATTTATATTTTTAAACTCAATATACTACTGTGAGGAAGAAATTTACATGAAATTCCTAATTTTCTTTATTGTGCTCACGAATTATATCACTGGAGAAGAAAAAAATGCAGGATGATATCATGCATGATTCTGCAGCCCTTAAAAATGATTTGTCTGGGTCACCCACCCACCCCTGGCTGCAGGTCACCCTGTGCTTGGGTGCCCAATATCCCAAAGGGAAGGAGAAAGAAGGAGGGATTGCAGAGTGATCATGCCCTATGGGGGCTGAGATGCCTTCTTGCTCTCCCTCTCCTTCTCCAGCCAGCAAACACATTCTCTAGCAAACAAAATAATAATAATAAACTGATTTGCTTGACTTAAATCTCTTCAACATCTTTCCTCCCACAAAATTGTTCCTGATTCTTTATTTTAATTAGATAGTCCTGCCACATGCTCCAACTGACATTGCACTCCGGTATACAGCAACATTTTTCTCAATAATGCCCATTCCATATCTTCCTGTGTAGTATGTATTGTGAGGGCAGAGATTGTGTTTGTCTTGCTAAATCTTATCATTCAGTTCTCAAGGGAACCAGATGAGTTTATTCTAAGCAATATCCAGCATATCCGTTAGACTCATTGCTGTTCTCCGTTTTCCCTTCAGTCTATCCATTTTATTATCCTCTCTTCTCATCCCATTAGCAGTATGATCCCATCTATATCTTCAGTGCTCGGGTCCTAGTTCTCTTCTTTAAAGAAAGAACTGTCTCCAGGGCGGCAGATGGCGTGGTGGTTAAAAGCGCTGGACTCCCACAAGACCAACCAAGATCCGAGTCCTGGACCTGACGGCTTGCTTTTTCGTTTTTCCTTTCTCTTTCTCTGGTCAAACTGAAGAATAACAGTAAGTAAACAAAATGAAAGAAAATGGCATCGCTGTCTTGGGAAAAAAAAAAAAAGGAACCGTCTCCCTCCCTATCCCGAACTTGCGATATGTACGGGATCCTACCTTTCACGCCAAATGAGGAAAAGTTATTTTTAAAAAATTGAAAACGCAGACCCATGCTTATGATCTTTTTCCTCAAAAGAAAGTAGCTAGAGAGGCCAAAGAATATTTTTAGAGTTGCCACAAAACGAAAGTGAGCACCCACCACACTAGACTGACGCAGACTTCCTCAGATCCAACCACGTCTTCCTCCCTTCCCCGGAAACGGAAAGAAGCGAGCCGGAGACCCCAGCGCTTAGAGATGCGTGGGCCTCAGCTTTCCTGGTGGGCGGGGCCGACCCGCCGGCGCCGACTGGCCAGCAAGCCATCGCTCTTGGGCAACTCCGCTTCCTATTGGCTTCCCAGGGCGACGCCCCCCGAGCAGGGCGGGAGATTCGGTGTGCAGTCCGCAGGCCTCCCATCCCCCAGCCGGGCTCTGGGCTTTCTTGCTGGTCTCTGCTCCCGTACCGTTTACGAGAACTTGGCGTCTCTGGCTGGGACCGAAGCCGCCTTCCCGACGCCGTCTTCCTTTCAGCGACGACTCAGCGAGATAGCGATCCGTCTAGGCGGCCGGAGCTACGCCAGACGTTGACCAAGTGGCGCGTTGTGGAGCGTCGGGGCAGCCTGCAACCCTTTTCTCTTTCTCCGCCGATTGTGAGGTGAGTCCAGGTGCGCGCGGCTTCCGGCTGAGCTGGGTCGCCTGTCTCGGGACTTCCCTCGACACTCCGGGCAGGGTCGCTGCGCCTCCCTCCTGGCCTCCCGCCGGCAACCGCGGCCCGGCTGGTGGAGCTCAGCCAACTGGTCAGCGGCGGAGGCGCAGGCCGAAGTCCGTAGGTAGCTGCACTGAGGCTGGTTCTGGAAAGACCGTTCGTCAGCGTCCAGAAGTGATCGGCCTTCCGAGCCAAGGACGCCCGATACCAGCATACCTATACCCCGGCCCTGGGCCTTCTGGTTGGAAAGAGGGAACTAAACGTCTGTAACTAAAGTAGTGAAGAGCCCCGTGGGGTGAGGACCATCACGTCCCAGAACTACCACTGTAGCGAGAAACTTAGATGTCATACCAGCCTGGAAGCACCAGAGGAGCCCTGCTACTAGGAGCAGTGCTTCGTTGTAAAATGCTGATAAATCAGGCTCTTTTGGTAAGTTAAAAGGAGGTTGAAGCATTGCTTTTCATTTTATAGTTGTAGCCCTAATAGATCCATTACTTTGTCCTAGTTAAATTGCAAGCTGGAAGAAAAACAGCATGACTATAATTTTGTGTAATGGTACCACATGGCAATGTTGAATGAGATGCAGAGATGTTCAAGAGATCTGCATGGTTATATTAATGTTTGATGTAAAAATACGTTAATAGGGAATATTTAATGAGCACTTTGATATGTCAGACACATGATCTTATTTAATCTATGACTAAAGGCAAAATTATACAATCATAATGTGTAGAGTTAAGATTAGGACTGAGACTTACCTGATACTACAGTGGGTGCTTACCCAGCAATTGGTGCTTACCACTAATATATGACATAGTTTTTAAAGGATTGCATTTTCTAAAAATTGTGGCAATTCTTTTATTTGCTCTCAAAGGACATTGTGTGGCTGTTAAATTGAAAAAATTACACAGTATCCAAGGGAGATTGGTTCCAGCCTCCCCACCTCCCAAGTTACCAAAATCCTTGATGCTTAAGACTCTTACATAAAGTTGCATAATGTTTACATATAATCTATACACATCCTCTCATATACTTTAAATTATCTCTAGATAACTTATAATTAACACAATGCAAATGCTATGTAAATCATTGTTATATATTGTTTCAGGAATAATAAGAAAAAAAAAGTTGGTATACGTTCAGTGCAGACTCAATCAATTTTTTTTCCCTCAACATATTTTCAGTCCACAGTTCACTGAATCTTCAGATGTAGCACCCACAGACTGATATTATATATCTGCAAGGGGTATACAAGTTTATAATAGAAATGAAAGGAGCCTTCTGGAACCTATCTCTTATGAATTTATGGATAATATATGTTAAAAATAAATAAACTCTATGGAACCAGCAGTAGCGTAATGGCTATGTCGCTGGATTCCCACAGTCGACCGCGGTTCGCGTCCCGGACCCGGTTGCTTAAAACTCATGCCGGGCGCGTGTGCGTGCGTGCCCAAGATCCCGAGAGGAGAATGGAGGAGAAAGGATTGCGGCGTGGCCAAACCCCCTGGGGGGATGATTTCTCGCTTTCTGTCGCTATGTCTCTCTCTGTCTGTCTGGCGAGCGCACACGCCCTATAGCGAAAAAAACCTCTCCAAAAAAAAATATAAATGAATAAATAAATAAACTCTAGGCTGTGAAAATGTTTTTCTTGAGCACACATGCTCTATAGCACAGATCTCTCAAAAAAATTTTTTTTCTATAGGGCATGTGCACTCACTAGAATGCAAACAGAAAGGGAAAGTGAAAAAGCAAGCTGCCAGGTCTAGGACTCAAACCATGGTTGGCCGTGTGGGAGTCCAGCATCTTAACTACCACACCACCTTCTGGCCCCAAAATGTTTTTCTTAATTGAGTAAAATTGTAGATGCCGCTCCCCTGAAGCAAATTTTAATTAGGCTCTAATTCATTTTATAATATCCATATTCAAATTTAATGTTTTTCTTTTTTTATCATTATTTTTATTTAACTTTATTTATTCATTTATCCATTTTAATTTGGACAGAGAGGGACAGAGTGAGAGAGAGGGAGGGGGAGAAAGTGAGCTGCCAGGTCCAGGACTTGAACCACAGTTGGCCATGTGGGAGTCCAGCACCCTCAAACAGCATGCCACCTGCCAGCACCATGTTTTTCTTTCTTTTTTTTTTTAAGAATTACTTATTTAAATTTTTGATAATTATTATTTTCAATTTGCCATAGAATGCATGTGCTCACCAGAGAGACAGAGAGGGAACGCCAGAAAGCAAATCTCCAAGTCTGGGACTCGAATTGCAGCCAGCCATGTGGGAGTCCAACACCTTAACCACCACACCACTTGCTGGCCCAAATTTAGTGTTTGTCTAGCTAAAAGATGTATGGTGGCTTATTATGAAACATGTTAAACTTGATTAGGGAGGAGAATGAAATATTAATGTATGAGTTTTAGTGCCAAAAAAGTTTGAAATTCATGCATAGTTTTTTTTTTTAATAATATGCACTCTCCATGAACTTTTTGAAGATTCCTCATATATAGACACAAAATTACCTGCCTTAAAGAATCTGAGCATTTAATGAAATGGTATACGTAAAAGTACCTGACAAATAGTATCTCAGAAAACCTGACTTTTTATTTTGAAAGGCTTTATTTTGTTGCTGCGGTTGTTAAAAAGTACCCCCTTTTTTTTTGTTTTTTTTGTTTTTTTTTCTGAGAGGTTTTTGCTTTAAGGGCACGTGCATTCTCTGGAAAGATAGAGAGAAACAGAGAGACAGAAAGCCAGAAATCACCCTCCAAAGGAGATGGCCACGCTGCAATCCCTTCTCCTCTATTCTCCTCTCGGGATCTTGGGCACACACGCACAGGGGCTCGGTGTGAGTTTAACTCACTGGGTCTGGGACTTGAACCATAGTCAACTACATGGGAGTCCAGTGACATGACCATTAACGCCAACTGCTGGTCCTAGAAAACCTGACTTAATTTTATATGAGTATAGTTTGTTTATTTTATACAAATATTGTGTAAATTCATTAAATTTTTTTCTCCGATACATCCAGATTCCTCATTGTAGAAAGCAGTATCACGACAAGAAAAATGGACCAAGAGGACACATTTTGCTAATGTGTTTAGCAGAAATCATGAATTGGTTATAAAAATCATGAAGTATTATCTTTATACACAAAATATAAACCTCAAGTTATTGTAAGGATTAAATGAGAGTACATTTAAGTAATTAAATCTTTATCTAGCACCTAGTAAGTGCTTATGTTTTGTCTTCCTACTACTGCCCTTAATCCACATGTTCTCAGTGTCTCAGACTTCCTGGCCAAAATGGAAATTGTCATTTTGTCCTTTACTATAAAATCATGACAACTTTCTCTTCATAAGGACCACATTTATCT